TCTTCATGTTAGAAGTTACTTCTGTCGAGTATGTGATTACACACTACATAAATTTCCAGTCAACGATGAACTGATTTTGCATGCTAAAAGTTGCTGATGTTTCTGCTCTAGCAAATGCATCTTTTTTTGATATAAGGTACTTTTTTGAACAGATTTCCTGTGTTACTTCGTTTAATCATGAAAGATGATGATATTGATGTTGCTACTGATATACTGCAGTCGCAATTTTGCAGTTTACAATTAGAAAACTTGGATGAAGTTGTATAAATCAGCTAGGATTGACACCCAGTGGAGTTTTTATTGGAAAACTTGAAAGGTGCTGATGGAAATTTTTAAAATATAGTGAACTGTCTAGAATTATGTTGGCTATCTTGACAGTTCCCCCATTTAGTAATGCAGGAGTGTGAGAGGATTTTCAGTGTTTGTTGCGAAAACGAGGACTAAATTTAGGTCTAATATTAGTGATGACACATTAGGAAAAACTTTTATAGCGAAAGCAGGCCTACGGTGGCAATTGCTATGAACAAAATTATGAAGTTTTTTCTTTCTCTTAACGAAAGCAAAATCTGCCACTGTCCATAACATTTGTATGAAAAACTGATTAAAGTGCCTTTTTTTTTTTTTGTTTTCTTAAACGATGCAAGTAATAAAAAATGTTTTTTATGTCTAAGGTATTTTTGTTTTGCTTGCATTTAAAGACTTAGTAACTATTTAAAGTTAATTCATTATTAAAAACTATATTTTTATCATTTAAAAAGTCTTTTTAACATTGTGAAAAATCTCCTGATTTCTTAAAAAAATCTCCTGATTTTTGAGTGTCATAGGTTGGCAAGTATGCTTTCACTGTTACGAGGGTTGGAACTTTAATAGTGGCAACTATTTATTTACAAGGAATATAAAAGTGATTCATGTCACCATGTTTTACAGTCCTTCAATATAGTTGCCAGCATTGTGTACAACCCGTTTCCAACAATGTGGAAGTCGCAGAATACCTGTAGCAGCGCCTGTTTTGTTGATAGTTTGAATGGACCGGTGTACTGACGCAAGAATCTCAGGAACAGTTTGGAAGCGAGTGCCACAAAGTGGTTCCTTTATCTTAGGAATTAAGTCATAGTCACAAGGGCTTAGATCTGGGGAGTATGGTGGATGGTAAAGTACTTCCCAGCCCCATCGCTTGAACAAATCAGTCACAGCTTGCGCTGCATGAGGCCGAGCATTGTCATGCAGAAAGTGTCACCGTTTTTTTCTCAAAGCTGGTCGGAGATTGTGCTCCAAAAATGAGCAGTAATACTGCGCAGTGACTGTCTGCTGTGGGGGAACGGTATGCGTTAGGGTGACACCATAACAGTCGTACACGAGAATCGCCATAACTTTCACATTGCTGGGGTTCTGATGAAATTTCGAACGTCGTGGTGACCCGTGATGTCGCTATTCGTTTGATTGGAGTTTCAGTTCTGGCTGGTACGATCGGGCCCAAGTCTCATCCAGGGTAATGATACGGCGTAAAAAAGCATCTCTTTCACGCTCATAGTGCTCCAGGTGGGTTCGGGCAGCATTGTATTGTAGCCATTTCTGCATTTTCGTCAGTTGATGTGGAACCCATCGTGAAGCAATTTTTCTCATGGACAGGCGTTCCTTCAGAATGTGCAGCACAGTCGTATGTGCTAATCCTGTTTGTCCGGCCAGCTGACGAATCGTTTGGCGATGATCACTGTCCATTAGTGCGGCAACAGCTTGCACGTCTGCATTGCTGACACTCAGACGACCTGGCCGCAGCATGTCTGCCACGTTTTGGCGTCCTTCATTGAATGCTTTCACCCATCTTGCTACGGTTCTGTGAGGCAATGCAGATTCCCCGCAAGCCTCTTGAAGCCTTTGATGACACTGTCGTGCTGTACGACCTCTGGCATATTTAATTTTTATCCAACATCGTTGTTTTTGTTTTGAAAACATCCTGACAACACTTTTACTTTAGACCGCGAGCTAATACAAGGATCCGTTCTTCACGTCACTCCGCATGCGCGTGATGTAGGCAGGACGAGTCTTTTTGCTGAGAGGTAAGGTAGATATGTAGTTCACGTGTGGTATACGCGATATTCTTTGGTTTTGTTGCGTAGCGTTTTTCCAGCTGTGTTGCCACTATTAAAGTTCCAACCCTCGTAAAAATAAGTGTGAGAAAAATTCATTTCTGCACCTGTAGGCATAAATTACTTAATTGGCAGTTCTCAAAGTAATGCTACAAAAAATAAGCATAAATCTCTCCCAAAATAAAAAAAAAGTCTCGTTGACAAGGGACACATTTTTCAATTATTGTAAGTTTATCTTGTGAAGAATGAATATTTATGTTTTTGCCGTCAGACCTTAACACAGCTTTTTTGTACACTCCATTTTGCCATTATTCGATGTTAGTACAATTCTGCAATGCAGAATTACATTAATTGATGTTTTGGAATCAATGATAAGTGATCTGGTTAAAGTATTATTTAATGTTTAGGGAAGCTGATTAGAGTATTTTTCTATTATTAGAAGGCACAAGTAATAAAACTTTTTTAAAAAAAACACGAGTAACTATTTCTGCATTATTTACATTTAAGAAATAATAACTGAACTTTCATGTATTAGTTAGTTACTATTTAAAGTCAGTTCAATAGTAAAAAATATATTTTCTTTCTGTATATTTTTATTATTTAAAAAATCTCCTCTCATTGAAAAAATTCTTCTGATTTCTTAAAAAGATCTGGTTTTTTTTTAGTGTTGTAGGTTGGCAAGTATGATATTATATTTTAATACTAGTATCCCGAACTTTAGGATGAGTATCATTTTTGTGTGTAGTGAAAACTGCATGAATAGGGACAAGCTATTTCTTTCCCTTTGCCTAACACAAGCTAATAACCAATAACTTGTTTGAAATAACAAACCAAAGCAAGTTTTTTGCAGAAAACTTGTACATATAAGTTGAACATACATGAAGGATGGGTGAAAAATACTTACCAATATCCAGGCAACACGACTTTTCAATAAGGCACTTGTCTCCAAAGTGGGATATGTGTACCCTTAGGGTGTATGCCAAAGAAGTAGATTTATTATTATGTGAGTAGGAGGTTCTCTAATCTGTCATTGTGTCTGATTTCACTAGCATCTAGGGAGCTCAACATCATAACTGCTACTTTTAAAGCTCATGTGTATTATTTTAAATTACATGGGGTGCAACTTATATATTTTCGTCTTGGGTTACACAATCAAAAAAGTTTGGAGATTGCTGCATTTGTGAATATGTTTTGAAATTGTAATGCGGCAATCATAATGCTGTCGTACACTAATTATGAAGTGATTCTGGAGCAGTTTATTACATTTCTTTTTTTATAATAAAGCTGAAGCCTTGCTTCTTTACAAGTAGAGGATTTTAGACTAATTAATTTTCATAACATCCCAGATGTGCTGAGTCGAGCTGAGGTCAGGGGACATGAAGGCAGTCTGCTTGATGATTATCTCTTCTGTCTGTCTAGAAGATTCTGCATTGCTCTGGTTAATGTGGCATTATCATCTGGGGGGGGACCTAACAACTGAAGCCACAAGTGAACCACTTTATGGTTTCATCACAAACCTTTCCACGACAATCATAAAATCTTTTACATGAATAAATTCTGTTACTTTTTTTGTATGAAATGACAAAAATAATTGATCAAGATTACTTTTTAAATTTTTTACTGAATGCAGAAGAGCACACAAGCAGAAGTAAATTTAATATTTAGTGAGTTTAGGTAAACAAATACATGCATACTAGTTAAGTTTTAATTTACATTTCAAATGCATCACAATAAAGATGTGTTTCTTGTACACTTTGCCTTTTTCACACTATTCTTGAAGTCAGCTGCAAACTGAATGAACTCTTATTATCAAAAGAGATACTGGTTCATTGCTATATCTTGCAATTTTGCTAAATGTGACATTATTGCAGTTGCCTTCTGTGGTGCTGTCTGGATTGCACCATATAAGTAGTAGATCTTTGAAGGTGTAGTCCAATGCAATTCAGAATGCAAATCATAGTTTAGTGAGCTATACTTGTTATCGTGATGCAATAGACGTTATTTGCAAACTGGTTGCATTGTTGTATTCAGTTGTATTTTTAAATAATGCTCTTATACAATCATAGATAGGGCAACTTCTGCAGGGTATCTAGAATGCATTCTGATTAATTGAAATGTCGCTAGAAGCCTGAAACAGTAGTCTGCAAGATTCCTAACTCTTCTGCAGTTTAGCTGATTGTGAGACATTCTAACTGTCTCCGATAATTTTTCCTCGAGTAAAATTATCAAAATAATATCTTTGAGATGTAAATTGGAAAATTTCATATTTATAGATTTTTATTTTTTACGTTCTAAATTTCTAACAAATGCAGGCAGTGCTAATTTTCTTTTCATATGCTTTTGAGATACCTCTTAACCCCTAATTGAAAAAAGTCAGAAATTGGTGTATTCATCAACATTCTGTTGCTCATATGCACATAGTTTTAAAATGATTAATGCTGTAACTTCATAGCTATACATTGACAACTGAAACTTTGGCACATAACTTCCTCAGCCAGAATGCGACTGAAATGGGTTCTGATATTACATATTTTAGAGTAGTTGCATTTTTTCAGTTTCTTGCAGAATTGCTTTGTTTTTTAGAATTAACATCAGATAGATGGGGATTAAAGGATAATTCTGTGCTGTTACCTGATCTTGTAAAAATTTCTGTAGCTTCTGTTAGTTTAAAGTCTTTTTATGAATTTCAGACTAGCAGACTATTTGCACTTTTGCAGCTAAGGATGGTGGTTCGGTAAAACCATCGAAACTAGTCCTGTGAAAATTTGAAAATATAACGCTGATTTTTGGTTTTTGACTTCTGAATTAGTAAACCTATTCTTGTTTATTAAAGAAATTATATAATTATCTGTTTTTTTTAAACTAATCTTCTAGTTAATTTTTTTTTCATGTCTTTTTTTTTTTTAATTGCAGGTGTTGAAACTTCATTTCATTTAAAAAAGAAATTGTATATAAAATTATTTTCTACAGTTTGGGTGCAATTCTTGCATTTTCAGGTATTCGGTAGTTTAATTTTTTGAATTTGCTGCACATGGTAATTCATTTACTTTTGTTTTAAATATGTGTTATTTCACAAAACAATACTAATTTTTTCAGCTTCCTCCTTTGTTGATAAACAAAGTGCTGGTAATTTTGCATAAAAAAGTTATTCCTTACTTGCAAAATCCCTGCTTAATGACCGATTTTTTGACAGATTCATATAATAAAGGTAAGTTTTGTTTTGGAATTTCCTGTATTATGGAAAAAAACCATGTTTTTTTTAAATCTAATTACAAATTTATTAGACAAAAGTAAAATTATCTGTTCTTGTGTACTAAAATTTTACAAGTAATTCAAAATGGTACTTATCATTACTATGATGACATAATGGGAATTACGTTTTTGAGAAAGTTCTGTGGTATTTTCCGATTATCAGCACTCTGCAGAAAAGTCATGAAAAAGCATTAACAAGGAAAAGTGGTGGGGAAAAAAAAAAAAGTATTTCTGAAGCACCTTAAGTATGGATGTAGCTTGTGTCTGATTTGGCAGTGCGCAATGCAAAGTTGTTTGATTACCAAGCTTCGGCAATTCTCTGATTTTTTTTAAATACAACAGATTAATGTATACTTTGGGATAACAGCAGTGCAAAAAAGGAGAATTTCTTAAAAAAATATTTCATTAACCCCCTCCACACACACATTTTTGATTGATTGATTGATTGTATGGAATTCTTAGGACACCCTTATTTTGAAAATGGCTGCACATCAGCTTAGCAAAAATAAGTTGACAGTAAGTTTGCAAATGCTTTCCATAGTCAGCAGTAAGTTTGTATTTTTCGATGGAGGTGTAGCTCCAATTATGATGCTTGTGTATTACTGCAGAAAAAATAAAAAATTAATTGTAATGACTTCTAGCACATAATGCCTTGTCACGCTCAAAATATTGGATCTATGTTGCAAGTGCTGAAGTTTATGCATTTTTAGCTGTATTAATTTTGAAAGACATTGCCCCAAAACCATAAAATTTATTATACTGTGAAAAAAAAATAATTAAATCGGTTGTATAGTTTTGAAACTTTTTCTGAGAAATAGTGCAGGCTTATTATACAGTATTTGGGATTTTATGATGATAAAACTTTGGATCTATCTATGCAACCATAACAAAAATTAAGGAAAGACTGGACAGTGTTTTTAAGTTGCTACAAAAAATTCCATCTGTTTACATATCTTAGAAAGATAAGGGATGTGAAGTGATAACTTTTATGGGTATGTTATTTTGCCTCTTAAGAGGACAAAATTTGGCAGAAAAATATTTTTTCCCCTTGCAAATTGGAAACAGGGGTATGTTTGGTCAGCTGTTATTTATGTTGGTAAAGGAAATCATGTAATTGATGGATATAAAAATAGGCATTGTAGCATAGGAACAAAAACTATCATAAATTTAGCCAAGCCATTACTAAACAAAGGCAAGCTATTGTATAACTATGACTAATTATTCCTTTCTCTCTAAACTTAGTGAATAGCTCATAAAAAGTAGAAGCTTTTATGAAACACAGACAACAAATCAAAAAAGATATCCCTAAGAAATGTGTAAAATTGGGGAAAAAGGGGGGAAGAAACGTTAGGTTATAAAAAAAACGAAAAGTCATGGTAGTGCAATGAAAGGACAAAAAAATATGTTCTGTAATAAATTCAATAATGAAATGGTAATAACAGAATATGTTTGCCAGAGGTTAAGCCTAAAATTGCACTTGATTATAATAATATAAGTGATGATGTGGGTTTCCAGGATCAGCATATTAGATATTACCAAGTTACAAGATCCACACAAAAAAGTTCTATAAAAATATTTTTGACAGTTATTTTATACATCAAAATGCTTATATTTTATATAAAGGTTAGAATAATAGTAAAACAAACTTGCTATTTCATATAAAGCTTGCTGAAAATTTTAATTGAAATGTATTGCACAGCACAGAATGTAAAATCAAGGCTATCTGCCCTCAGTACAAAAAATGATGTTCTAAGATTAACTGGAAGACATTTTCCGAAGTAATTTCCTTCACATAAAAGGGGGGGAATGGAGCCTACAGAAAGATATATTGTGTACTTCTTAAAAAATAATTTAAAAAATATTTGTGGTTAAAAAATTCAAAGAGAGATGAGAGTATATTTTGCAAAGAAAGTGATTCTGCATTGTGTGAAATTTTTTGTTTTAAAATTTATCATATGCAAAAAGAATTTAAAATCGTCATTGTAATAATTAAAAACGCTGACACATATTTTGTGTAATCGTGTAATATATGTGTAGACATTTTCAAGGTTTGAAGAAATTAAGCAATATTAATTAAAGAAAATGTATATATAAATGGAAAATATAATTTCTTAAAATGCAAGGTCTGTCTGTAAACAGAGATCGTATGGTCCTTAAAAGTCCTTAGATTTTTTTGAATCAATTTTTAGTTCTTAAAAGTCCTTAATTTTGGCCAAAATCAGCAGAAGTCCTTAATTTTAATCATCTAAAATTTCTGTGTTTTTTTTTACGACTGCCATTTTGAGCATGAGATAGCATTTTAGAGGGATACTTTTGGCGATTCACTGACATATATGGTTATTACAGAAAGTTTGCGATGAATTTCTTACTTTTTGGAGAACGTCTGGAATAACAATGAAAACATAATATTTGAATGTTTTACTCGTGATACTAGAATCTTTTTCTTAACATGTTTATCTTCCCTTTATTTTCTCTACTTTTCACTAGACACAAGCATGGAAAATATCAAAAATGCTTCTAATCTTATCACATGGGCAGGCATTATAAAAAGGGATTTTTTAATTAATAAAGAAATTAAAAACTTAAAAATTTATCTAATATGTCATAATGCATCATACTCAGAGCTGGCGCTAGGTATTTTCCTACCTGATGCAATCTCTGAGGATCCTAAATTCTGCTGCCTAGTTGCCTTTCTAAATTGTGCTTCCAATGCCTGCTCTAAATTCTAAAACTTTTGCCATTTCTAGATTTTGTTGTTCTGTGTGTGACTAAATTCTAAAATTTCTGCCACACCACCTCTGTAACTGGCCTTTACCATATATATTTCATCTTTCTTCTGAATGTTCATACTCCTAAAATAAAATTAGCCACTTTTTCTATACATTCTAAACGCATTTATTGTTTTTTAGGATAATAGAAATCCTTAATTAAATCCAAAAATTCTAAAATGAAAAGGAAACGTTGAAAAATTTGAGTACATAAACAAAATTATTCTTAAAAAACATGTGCAGTTATTATTATTACCCAGTTGTTTATGATTTCAGCCTTTACCATAATTTCCCATCTCTATTTCCTCATATGATAGAATGAGCCAGATTAAATTAAAATTAAATTGTATAATCTTTGATTACTAGTCCTCATTTTTAGTTTGAATTTGACTGTTCTTCTTTAATTACATCACTGTGAGGTATAATTGATTTTGTTAGCATCAGAACATGCCTTTATGTTCTAAGTCCTTTTTAAATAAGAGTCTTATTTAAACCTTTGTCTGATATTGTAGTTACTTTCAGACACAGCAATAATTTCCTTCATGCCTGTCGTGGGTTTTGGACTGTTTAATTTTTGCGAGATCAAGTAAACCCTCACAGGTACATTGTGGAGAGGCTGACAAGTTAAGAGATAAAGTTCGCAGAAACTAGCAAGTGCATTGGTTTGCATATTAAGACAAATCTGTAATTGTTAGAAAGGATTCTTAAAGAGAAGGAAATCGTTATAAACTAGCCAAAATATTTCAGAAGGCTTCAAATTAAAATGACAGATAAATATTTTGTTGAGTGTTGTTGTTACAAAACATAAATGTTTTGTAGCTTTTAATGTGTAATTATCCTAATATCGTTTAAGAATCCATGTCATAAATGACATGTATTTTAAACTGTAAAATTTTATTAGATTCTGATTTTATAGGTTTTTTTAACAAATATTGTTAAAAATAAAATTTAATTGTGGCTATGTAAATCCATAATGACTAAGATTATCTAATTACCTAATTTAATTATTTATAACTAACTGCTTACCCTTAAAAATTATCTTTACATATTAAAGTGAGTTTGCCTTTCATTAATACTCACTGTGGTCACAACATAAAACACAAAAATCTAAAAATTCAAGTAAACTTTATTTTTTTTTTTTTTTTTTTTTTTTTTTTTTTTTTTTTTTTTGCATTTAGTGAAACTTAAAATGATACGAAATAACTTATCACCTCTGGTGCTTTAATGGCTTATTGAAACCTTAAAGTATATTAACTGGGTTACAAGCCCTGGAACTCTACATGAACAGCTATGACACTGCATCAAACAGAGCCTGACTAACATTCAATACTTGCCAACCGTGCCTACATCAGGCCTTTCAGGTTTGTTCTAATCAGCAGGTCTCTCTCTCTAGACAAACAGCAGCGGTAACAACATTCAGTCTTTTGTCATGAATCATGCTGATTATGACCTTACTTCTCATTTTAATCTATGGCGTTTACATAAAATCTACCTGCTATTTATTAAACCTCTAGACTGACCAAGTATTTGACAAAAGGAGAAATTAAAACAATCAACATAAAGTCAGCTGTTAGAAAAACGTAAACATCACTTATCTTCTTTCAAATATGTCCAACTATTATAAGTGTAAAATATTTAATGCTACTTGATAAATTGCATAAAGTTTATTTTATTCTTAAACTTATTAATAATTATGTTAATTCATTTTTAGTAATAATGCATATTACTTAGTGATCTATTTTCTTTTTAGGATGGTATTACAAAAGTGAAATTCAGGCATAGATAATATTTTTAATTGAATTTTTTCAGTCCCATTTGCTTATAGGTCTTTAATTTTTTCATTAATGGTCCTTAAAAGTCCTTAACTTCCATGTTCGGAAATGTGTAGGAACCCTGGTAAAGTACAAGGACTGTCTTTAAAAAGAGTAGTAGTTTGAAATTTATGGCAAATTTATTGTTTGTCTCCAAGAAACAAAGAATAAATTTTGAGAGCGTAGAACTGGTCTGTCCAGAATGTTCTATTTGTCCCTTTCCTCTTTTCCCACTTTTCAATACCAGAACTTGAAAAAAAAAAAAAAAAAGAAAAGAAAAAAAGAAAAAAAAAATCATCTGCTTGTTAATTCAGGATATTTATATGAACTCTTAATATGTCAAAGTACAGGGTATGTTAATTTATATTTAAATTAAAATAAACATGACCTACATGATTATTATTTTTCAAATTCTGTATTGATTGTTCAAATATAAATAAATATCTGAAGCATAATGGTAAATATATGATTTATTTATTTGATAAAAAATGTCTTATAATTTTCCTAATTCTTAAATTGTTTATTTTCATTATTTGTTCTTGTAATAGAGAGAGAATTTGAAGTTAAATTATTTATATATATATGAATATTTAATATTTTTTAAAGTTGTTCAGTGTAAATTTGTTTTGTAAAGTTCTTATCTTTGATATATGTATAACATAATTTCTTTTGTTATTTTAGGTGGCATCACTAGTCTATTAGCTTTACATGGCTTGTTCATTTTAATGGAGAAATATAATGTGTGAGTTTCAGTCCTTGTTTTGATAATTCATATTTGCATGCATATTTATTCCTATGTAGTGTCCTGTTGCCCCTTGTTTTTTATATATATCCGTATTTAAGTAAGATATATTTTCTGTGCTGTAATCATTAACCATCATTAATAGTACTAAACTCCAAATTTCTATTCCTTATTGTCTTGTTGGGTACGTAAAATCTTTCCAGCTTAAGGAATTTGTTGTCTTTTTAACATTCCTGACACAGATGAAATTTAAATAACACCAAGAATTAAAAGTTTGTAGTATTATAAGCCTTTGGAAAAAAGTGTAATAGTAACTTTTGAATATGTTATCTCTGTTTACATAGACAGTAAGAAGAGAAGGATTTATAAAAATTCTGTGGTTATCTTTGTTAAATTAAAGATGTTAGTATAATTTTATGAATTAATTTCTAATAAAACTGGTTAATATTTCAGGGAATATCCTGATTTCTTTTTCAAACTTTATGCATTGTTTGATGAAAGTATCATAAATGGAAAATTTAGCACAAAGTTTTTTTACCTCTCGGATATATTTCTTTCATCTACGTGAGTATCCTTTTTTTATTCTTTCTCAAGCTTTTATTAGAAAATTTAACTGATGAACCACAATAAGTAGAAATTTAGTATGGCATTTCTTATTTCAACAGTTAACCATGATATGATTTAAATGTAAGTTTTTTCAGGATTTTATTTATCACTATGCATATAAATATAAAATCAAAGTTAACTAACTGTATGGTTGGTAACTTTAGCAAAGTGTTTTATAGGAAGATAATAATGCCTCATTTAACAAACAAAATGTCTATCATTTTTGTTTGTTCATAAGATATTTTCAATCTCCAGATTTTTTTTGCAAATTAACAATGTATCCCGAACTGAAGGTTAACCAAATTTTATTTAATTTTATGTTATAAAGTGGACAGTTTTATTGGACCTGTGATGATCACTTAACCCAGGTTCTACTTATATTTGTGTAAATGTACAGTTTATATAATCCTTTTCGTTGTAAATAGCCTGTTGACTGTATCAAAATTTCAATAGTTCTTTCATGTTGATCAAAAACCTAATAAAAGCAATATTTCTGATGACATAATGTTCATAGCAAGACTTCTGTGCTTAGTTTATATATAACAGTAGTTCTCAAAGGATATTGTTATGGCATTCACTGTGTTGTGGCTGGCGAGAGAGGGCACTGTATCCTCCGTTTTTGTTTTTTTATTTATTGTTTGTATATAGTTGGAATAAATGTGTTATCAGTAATGGCACTATTAATTCTTTTTCAAGTGGAGTTTAATTTTTGTGTCCCTCTACAAAGAGGTGAGCAGGTTATGCTGCAAAAATTTTAGATTGTGCCTTGAGAAAAGGTATTAGGGAACTGTGAACTCATAAGAAACAGGCTCATGGATTAAAAATTTTAGAACTGTTATTTACTAAATCTTAGATAATGGAAAATGCTTGCAGTACAAATTTAAAAATTAATTAATGTATAATTAATAATAATCGGTACTTTTCCGTTTTGTTGGCGCAAGCGATAAAGTCACCAGTAATGGTACAACCGATGCCAAATGAAATAACCTCGCTGGTAACCTTTTACTTTAACTTTTACATTTTCAAAACAAATCGCAGCCATTTCTTATTATTTTGATTGTTTCTTTCAATATTGGCATACACTTACATAGAATTTTTACCAGATAGTTCAATTTTATGCACCAAGGCTATTCGCGGATGGTAATTAAGTCAATTAGGATGCAATCACACCGCTCACCCGATGGCGAAAATGTAGAAAAGGCAAAGTCAAAGGTTAAATTCATCAATTCTAATAAGAGTGCACTAGCAAATGCAAAGTAAAGCACTGCGGTTTTAATTTCTGAGTAAGCTATTCATGTGAATAATAATTCTTGCATTTAAACTTGTATTCCAAATTAAGATTTAACTTGAAAATAATGTAGATAATTACTGAGAGAGTTAGATTTTTGTAGCGTAGTTTACGTGAGATGAGATCACTTGGGGTCACGTGATATGAACTGGTGAATCATGATGTTTTACAATGAAAGCATAGTAAATTTTTAACATAATGTCTTTTACAAATTTATTGTCTTTATTTATTAGCATTTTTACAAAATTTTAAACGACATTAAAATGTTTATACTTTCAAAATAAAAAATCTTAGAACTAGCATTTGTCAACGCTTTTTATGTGTATACTGTGTGTTTTCGCCAATAAAGTCTACTTGGCAAGAATTGCGCCGGCGAAACGGAAAAGTACCTAATAATCTTATACTGTTGCTGCACTTTAGTGTTAAACATTGGATTATTTATTTCTACTCAAGGATTCATTGCCAATGTTGAAAATCCCTGATGACAAATATGTGGTTGAAAACAGAAATAATATAGATGTGGCCCATTTCACAAACATCCAGAACTGAAATAGTGTTTCTTCCCTAAATTTGAGCTTCAAAGTTTGATCAGTCTATAGTTCATTCGACTCTTCTGCCTCTTGTAATAATAGATGTTTTTTATTCTCAGTAATTTGACTTCCACAGTTGCATTTTTCATTAGAATCCAAACTTAATATAAGAATATCCTGTTCCTTTCCCTGCATACTCGCATTAAGAATATTCAGATTCCAAAAATATCAGCCAGGTGTGCGACATTCAAACAGCATTTTTCAGTACTTTTTTATTTCGCTGGTGCAAATCTCGCCAAGCAGACATTATTGGCAACAATATACACATAACAAATCTTTCTTGTAAGAATTTTTTATTTTGAAAGAATAAACATTTTAATATTGTTTCAAATTTTGTAAAAAGACATTAATTTAAGAATTTAATATGCATTCATGGTTCAACATCCTGATTCACCGGTTCATATCACGTAACCCCAAGTAATCTGATCTCACAAACTACGGTACAAAAATAATTCTCTAAGTAATTATCTACATTCATTTCAAGTTAAATCTTAATTTGGAATACAAGTTTAAATGCAAGAATTATTTCAATTTGTACGAATAGCTTACTCAGAAATTATATAAAACCGCAGTGCTTTACTTCACTAGTGCATTCTCATTAGAATTTAATCCTTGAATTTAATCTTTTCTATATTTTCGGGTGAGCGGTGTAATTGCATCCTAATTGCCTTAATTACCGCGAAATGGCCGTAGGGCATAAAATTGAACTATCTTGTAAAACTTTTGTATAATTGTATGCCAGTATTGAAAGAAACGATCAATCTGATAAGAAATGGCTGCGACTTGTTTTGAAAATCAAGCGTAAAAGGTTACCAGCAAGGATATTCCGTTCAGCATCAATTGTACCATTATTGGCGATTTTATCGCCTGTGCCGACAAAACGGAAAAGTACCCATTTTTTTTTTTTTTTTTTTAGCAAACATTTGTAACATTTCATTTTTATATTTATGAAACCTGGAGAGTACCTTTTCTTTTAATAGATAGCAAATTTTGGTGTGAAGGACCTGAGCATGATGAGCAACTCCTGCTTCCTGGTACATGACTATCGTCTTCAAAGCTCTACTTTTAATATAATTAACTATTTCAGCAAGTAGGCTCATTACCTTTTTAGGTCTTCTGGAATATATTTTGCCGTGAGTATTTCCCATTGTAAAATACAATGTGAGAAAAATCTTGATCTTTTCTAAAACCTTTCATTCAACAAAAATTGCCAGGCACCATCAATGCTCACTGAAATACGGATTTTTAAATGCTAACCTTTCTCTGCCAGTGTAGATGGCATACAATTATAGATATCTGATCTTGTTGAGGTCAAAGGTTGTGATGTTGGGAGGCCCCAACTTGTCAACAACAGTAGTAGTGACTGCTATGAACTGGAAATTACAGACTCTTAAGAAGGGTTTAACTCCCTTTTTATTTCACTTTAGAAATTACAGTTGCGTTCACTTGACGCTCACAAACTACGCCGACCCGGCGGTTAAACAAAAATAGAAAAGTACAACTAAAAATAAATGACAGGATGCATAACTAACGAAGTCACTATCTACGAGGCTCTATAATTGTAACTATCTTAACTGCGTTCTAAGATACAGCTGAGATTCAGCAAACTTTCTGATTAAGAATTTGAAAGATTCAACAAACTGTCGAAATAGGCACACAGGCCGAAATGCGCGGTTCTTAAACTTTCTACCAAGCAACCTTCTCGCTCGTGATTCAAGAAGCACACTTACAATCTCGCTTCCCTTCTATTTAAACTGAATTACTTCTGCTAAAAATTTTAATACTCTGTGCGTTCTACTATGATTTACATCAAGGATGTCAAACTCGCAGGTCGCATGCGGCCCACAACAAATATTTTTGCGGCCCTGTCAATATATCGCCAAATAATAATATATAATAATAAAATAACATATCAACGAAGAAAAAAATGAAATGTTTACTGCTAAGTAATTAACGATAATTTATTCAGTGTTGTTAGATTACTCACAGCGAGCTGACACACACACTACTTAAATTACAAATGCGTGTGAGTAGCTTGCGTTCAGCTACCTTCGGCTTTTGGGGGACACGTGCACTCAGAACGCATCTCCCGATAGCCGAATGTGGCCGAACTCATGGTCTCAGTTTTCCAATCATAGTTTTGTACGATATATTGGTGCATGCACTTTGCTTTATTATTAATTATTACTTAATTCATATTGTTACGGATTTCATAGTTATTTATTTATTTAGTTTTTTTATTTAGAATTGTAATTAGGTTTGTTTCATGTTGCCTTAACAACGCAGATGATTTTTGAAAAGACAGCTGCGTTGGAAGGTTAAAAATAGAACAGCACGTGCATTTAATACCTAATAAATAAATATCTCGTAATTGCTGTTGCCATCCACGAAAATCCAGATATTTATAGATGTTTCCAGTATATTCGAGAAATTAATTATAAAGCTTATAAAAGCCGAGAACAAACAACTCATCTCAGTAGTAGCTGTAGTTCTAGCGAACTGTTTGTTTACTACTTAATGCTGTGATTGATTTGTAGCGATTTCGCTGTGAGATAGAATTAGTTTCTCTGTTTTGAATTGATTTTTGCTAAACGTTTGACATTTTGTGATATTGTTAGAATATTTTTGAAGAAATATTTCAGCATTTTGATTTATCTCTTGTGGAAAGAATAAATTTTTGTTAACTTTTTAACGTTAACCGTGTTTATTCCAGCCCTTTGTATTCAGTATGTCTATATCAAAACCAAGTGGTAGTAAAATTAAACGAAAAATCGCTGACGAACATAGAATATTCCAAGTAAAATGGGAATTAGAATATTTTTGCTGTGAAATAAAAGATAAAATAATCTGCTTGATATGTAATAATACTATTAATGTACCAAAGTTATATAATATTAAACGTCATTACGAACAACACAAATCGAAATATAACAATTACGAAGGATTAATGAGAGAAGAAAAGTTGAAAGAGCTCAAGTTAGGAGTGAAAAAGCAACAGTCCATGTTTAGTAAAGTATTGCAAGAAAGTGAAGCGGCGGTACATGCAAGCTACGTCTTGTCCGAGTTGATAGCTAAACATT